TTAATTAGCACATCCCATCAGTTTCCACGAAGCATTCTATATTACAGTATCTCGCCGTTATACAATACATAGTATATGCATTTTTTAGTATAATATATGCATACTATTCGGCGCGTTAACGCGAAAACTATCCACTTTTGTTCTAAACGAGAAAAGGGTATAGGACGTATTGTACTTTTTTTTTCCTACTTCGGTAATGCGCGCAAGGTTTTTTTTTCTTTCCAAGTGTTCGGTCGCACTTTTCGCTAAATCCATCACTCTACTGGCTCGGCACGTCGCCGAGGCGATATTGGCCGCGCAGAAACACCAGAAGGGTTTTTTCGTTATTAAAAGGGTCCCTAAGCACTTTTGCCCGGGTAATTTTTCATTGCGACAACCGTGCACGTATAGAGGTACTAAGACAGATCCGTCAATTATCGTCGCCTACCGCACGACTCGGCCGACCATTGGGCTAGGATTTTCTCCTTTGCCTAATGCCTTGGTATGTGTACCTTTTACCTTCTTCGTTTGCGGTCGATTCAAAACGATCTGCTCGATTCGCACAATATAGTAAACGGAACAACTGTGTAATACACGTTGGTATAATGTATTTTTCTGCGTTTGAATATTTAAACGAAAACGTTTGTGCGTTTATAGTAGTTCTATGAACTTGTATCGTTGTAGCGAATGGTCGAATGTGTTTGCTTTGAACGGGATCGGCGTTTGTTATAGGCACAGGAACAGATATTGCACTCTGCAGTGGATTTCTGTTTTTTTTTTTTTTTTTAAGTAAACGTTGCATAACCTTTGTCATGTAAATATTGTTTGTCAAAAGGGGTTACTGTGAGATTATGAAATTGTTAATTAAAACATGCTCATTAAAAAAATGAAGAACAATCAATTTACAACTACATACACATTCATATTTCTTTATTGATTTTATAACAATGATTATGGAAATTTACAAGATATCAAACTGGCCGGGTCGTAAGTATTTTATTAAAAGAAAATATAGTTGAAAATAGCCTTTATGACTTTTGATAAACTTAAACTATAAGGTTTAAGTTAAAATTTATAAGTAATTAACTTGCAATTTTATTTCATTTATTAATAATGAAAAAGTGCTATTTATGTAGAATGATAAAATACTATAAGATTTACGTAAATATATCTTTTTTAGCCTTTTACATTAATTTAAAATTGTAATTCCTAAAATTAATGTATATATAACTAATTAAGTAAGGGTAGAGATAAGATGTAACGTTAATTATTTGCATAGTGTGTCTGTTTTGTAAAAACTATTATCCAACCTTTTACACACACTATATAATACATTTATATAGAAATTAGAAAACTGTAGCTTGGGTCTATAAAGTCCAAAACAATGCAATTTAAATTTTTTGGGTAAATAAACATTTTTAAATAATATAACTTTTCATATTCCACAAGAAATATTATGTTTTTTATAATGTACGCTTTTTATATGTACACAACTTAATAATAAAAATAAAATAATGATTTTCCCAGATAATATGGACCTTATAAGTTATAAAAGTTGTATTTTCTCGAGCATTGTAATGCAGTTTAAGTAAAAATAAGTTGAATTAACTAATTTGAGTTTTAAAAATGTTCTCTATCTACTAATAAGACCTCAAAATAGTATTGAAATTTAGAACTAAATATTTTCATTGTTGTCACTGTGTCCTACTCGGATCATTTCATCTTTATTTCTGTACATGACACATCTTTATAACATTTCAGAATTAAAAAACCGTTTAACAGGTTAATTAACGAGAGATAAGTACTTGCTAACCTTTCATATAAGGTTAGCTATAACCTATAACTATAGGCTGACGTTTAACGTTAGGTAAAAAGCTTTTTAAATCCATATGGAAACAATTTTAAGGGAAATATTTTCGGTAGTCTACAGGATATATATTCTGAAATGCCGAGACTTTGTATATTTATAGTCAACGTTGACAGACATGGTATGTTTTCGAATAATATGAAAGGGTAGTTTTGGCGGTAGACCGAGACCTGGCGACACCGAATGATCTTTATGGGTGTACGGGAAATTCACGGTTGAAGAAGTCGCGTTAAAAGACGCAGGGAAATAAATAGTGTTGCGATCGGTGTGTTTATAAGCGCCTCTCATGATAAAAGTTCGATTGAAAATCGACGAACAGTAAAAAAAATATTGGCAGTGGTCAGCTGAATGGTTTTTTTTATTTCGGTATTAGCACTCTCAAAGACTATCAACAAACGATAACGGAAAATAAATAAAAATTCTCTCTCGGCAATCCGCTTATCGGAGGTAGCGCTTAAGCCGCGAGACACCTCGGTCAACCGTTCAAGTCCTTTGCCGGGCTATTTTAAATTCCCTTTTGTACATACAGGGTACAGGATTATATAGACAATGCGTTCAATATACACATAGATTAAATTATTTTCATTGATTAAAAAAGGTAACGAAGTGTGTGTCCGGTCTGAATCCATAGTGCACTGGAACTGTTGTAAATACAAATTCAATTTAGATATAAGTTATAATAACTTTAATACAACATTTTAATGTACCACAAAATGATAAATTGGATTTAAAATAAAATGTTGTCAAGTTGTGTATGTGCACGAATACCTGTATTATAACTATAGTCTTCCTTGAGTTGACAGGTTAGATCTACAACTATTGAACAATCCACTAAAACACAGGACGGCCGGTATGCTTACCTCGAACTAAAACTAACTTGTTAAATGCTGTCATAAACTTTAAGTCAATCAACTTGTTAGTTAGTTAACCCGCGCTCACATCCAGTCGTCGGGCAACGTGAAATTAACATATCAATATTGTACTAAATACAGTCAATACTTACCTAGTAGGATTCAAAAGTACCTGAACGAAAATGAAATGAAAGGGGGGTGCAAGGGGTTCGACCCCCGTCTCTAAAAAACGCCCTCGACGAGCAACTCTCTTTGCAATTATAATAAGTTATCAGAAAATGAAAAATATCGTTTCAAGTAGACTTTATCGCGTTAATATTGTTTGAGAGTAAAGTTTATTGTGTTAAACTCACTATCTCCGTGTTGGTGGTTTCATTAGCGCACCTCACAAATCCGAACATTTTAGTTTGAGAAGATTAATACGATAGTAATATTATATGTTTTACACACCATTTCAATTCCGGCACTCAGACCTGGCCGCGCGGACGTGCGTTACTTTTCCGTTTTCAATTATTACTTTTTTTTCCAACTTTTACTTTTTCCACGTCGCTTTATTATTATTGTCTTATCTCGGTCGTAACATAAGTAAACGCAACTCGTGGACGGCGGGGGCGGAAAGAGGGGCGATTGTATTAAAAGTTACCACAACCCACAGTCATAATAATAATTGCAGACCGCCATATCGTCGTACACCTTTATCAAACGTGCACGACTCCTGTGGCCGGGTTGTTATTTATAACGTTATCCTGTAACGTTTCTTTGGCTTGTGCAATAATTTCGTTCGTTAATCAAACTTGTAAGTTTTGACATTGTTCAGACCGCCGGTAAAGGCCTCCCGCACAGCGGTGACATTACCATAGAGCAGAGGCTTGTGTTATACCTGTTGTATAATTAGACAGGATCAAAATTACCACAGTGCCGACCGTCGCCAACTCCTGCGGACGCCATGTTGTCTCGCAAGTCATGTACTGTTTCCTTTCATCAATTAACGCGACTCGGAAAAAACAAAGAAACTATAGATAGGTACCCAACCTACACAGAGCCCGCAGAGACCCGTCTCCCGTTTTTGGTTTGAGACTACCCGGGTACAAATTGAAATCATTTGCATAATAAGTGCGTTTACTTGTCAACAACATAATGTATGCATCCAAATCGACCACATTATGACTACGTTAATTCATTAAACACAGTAAAAGACTGTATACTCTGACAAGTCTTCAACTATTATAATTAAAACTATTTATGATATCTAAATATTGTCTTCATCTTTGTTCAAGAATAATAGGTATCAGCTATTACCCAGGAAATCGTCGAAAACGATATGTTTATCTTGTTTTGAATTATTCGCCTTAGGACAAAACAAATTTGTATAGAATTCACGTTTAAACCTGAAAGCGTCTCAGCTTGTTACACAACGGTTCTTATCGTTATGATTTTAAATACTTAAGGTGCCATCGTTAAAAGGATTGTTTTTGCCTGTTTGTTTTACTTTTGATTTATACACAACTCACTTTATATAATATTTGTCTGGGGATTTGGAGCTCGCCGCTTTATACAAATTGGCATTTGGCTGCGTTCAAATCAGAATTTAAAGCGAGGCAGATGTTATAAAGTTTTCATTAAGTATTTGAAATATGTCTTATAAATACACATGATAAATGTTTTCAAAGAAATCATGTTTATAAAATTACTTGGAAAAACATTTCTGAAGTATTTGAACTAAACATTTCGCTTAAATACAGCATTCATTGAATATTTTCTGAATGTTAAGTCTGTCTCCTAAAATACACATGATCAAAATATAACCCATGGTTAGGTCCCAGTTATTAGCTAGTTTCTAAAAAGTGGCTCTTAATTCTTAAATGTTTATTAAGTTATTTTATTTATTAAATTTACTACATGGCATAACATTTGGAGATGTCTATAGACATTTATACTATAAGAATAGACACTTAAATTATTTTGTACTTTTTACTATTGAAATCATTGCTTAGACTTTTTAGGATCGACCTACGTTTATAGTTCAATTTAATAGGCCCATAAAAAATATGAAAGATTATCACTTTTTATAAGAGTGAAAAGTATCCATAAAATGTTTGTTGCCACATATAAGTATAGAAATAAAATAACATTAGTCTAAAGGGATGCAACCATTTTTATTGTTTTCGGTTATTATTTATTATACACTATTAGGCAATAAAGGATTTAGTTTGATATTTTGGAATATATAATATATGTATATAGAAAAAATGCTTAAAGGAAATAATATAATTCTAATATATATTTTTTCTGTTTTTTTTTAGAGAGAAATCTTAACTATTATAACAGGATTACTAAAAAGGTAAGTTAATTTTTGTATAATTGTGTTATAATAAATTTATACTATAGTTGTAGTTCTGCTACTGCTAGTTGTTTATAAGTCGATTTCCTAAGATAACCGATTTTTTTTTGTGTGTGATATTTTAGTGTTATTTTATAGTTGCCTCGTTGTTGTTTATACGTGTAGTGCTGTATTCCTTTTGCTTCGTAAATAACGTCCATTTCAAACTTCCACAAATCTTGAACGAGTTTATTATGATTTAGTTTTGGCTTTCAACATTTCCACATATGTCCTAGAACGTATAAATTGTTTTTATTAATATTATTAAAAAATATTTGTCTCGTTTATCAGATGAATGCGTTTGAACAAAAAGTGTTATGTTAGTTATGACTTATGATAAAGCAAGTCACGCCGTAATTAATTAAAAAGCTCAATTGTGCTTTAATCCAGCAATAAATAAACATATGTATGAAAAGTATCATATAAAGATATTGATATAGTATTACATATCAAAGTAGGTAATTAGTATAAGTTTCTAAAGTACACTATATTTACCGTTTTCACATTGTCAATAACTTTGTCAATCAAACTCTGTCGTATCTTTTCATTTTCCAACTTGATGGAGTTTATATAATTTTCAATATTTTTAGTGTCTTCGTCTTTAGCCTTTTTAATACTCTCAATAATGTTTTTTAAATGGCAAACTTCTTTTGATACGTCCTGCAACTGTTTTTCCTTCTCTGAAAGTTTACCTTCCATGCAGCTCATGGCGGTGACTTTTCTACTCAATTCATTCTGGATAGTTGTTATGACTTCATTATATGCGTTAATTTTTTCATTGCTTTCTTTGGCGGCTAGATCCATTTTTTTACTTAACTGATTCAGCTACACAATTACATAAATATTTGTACTATGTTATTGTAATGTGATCTGTAAATATTTTGATATTTGGGTTGCTGTATTTAATTAAAGCGATAAACGCACTTCATTTACAAGCTTCTTTATGAACAAATTTTATGGGTTCCCGACACCGGAGATTATTACATTAACATATTAGTGAATGCAATTGATATTATAAAAAATATATTGCATATTTTAATTATGTATACAAGAACACAAAACTACTTGTATTTTGAAAATGCTTTTACAGCTTTAAATGCAAAGTATAGATGAGAATATAAATTTATAAAATTTATTTATAACTATGTGTTTTTATTGTCTGTGTAGATAACATTGGTATATTCCATTGTTACCGGAGAAAGCTAAAAAATCTAAACGTTGAGACAATTGAAGAATAAATTCAAGGTCTTTACCTGACATTCGAGTTTAGCTACTGCGTCTTTGGATTTTTTTGATTCCAGTTTTGCTGCTGTTAAATCGTTTTCGAGCACACACAAGTTTTGGTCTTTAATTGATAACAGTTCATTCAGCCGTTCTATGTTTTTGTACTTGGTTTTCACGTCGACCATTAGCTTTTCATACGATTTCGTTAGTCTCCTTTTGTCTTGTTCAAGTTGACAGCATTGGTTTTTCAAATCATCCATCTCGGCTTCGTGTGTACGCCTCAACTGCTCCTCTGCCTTTCTTTCCTCGCGCAAGTTAGAATTCTCCTTTTCAATTTGGACAATTTCGGTTTTGGACAGTTGATATTTATCATAAAGATTTTTGTAGCCTTTGATCAGTTTGCGGAACATGTCTCTTTGATTTTCAACCACTGAATCCAGCCATGTGTTAATATCAGGTAGCCGGCACTCTAGTTCGTCTTCACAGACTAACGATTTCTCCAAAACCAACTTTCTACATTGCTCCAAAAACCTTTCTACTTGGTCAATATCTTTGTTCGGTTCGTCATTGTTGTGCTCTTCTCCTAATTCCATTCCTGTAAAACCTTTACCGTGGCCCGTCCTTGTGTTGTCATTCATAGTAGACGCTATTGTGTTATTTACATTAAAGTGTATGTGCGTTAAAAATATGTAAAATGTCACAAAAATGTGACTATTGAATTGTACGTACTTATGTATTTAGATTGTTAGCATGGCAACGACAGTGCTGTTATCAATGTAAACGACCAAATCAATTCAAAGTAGGATCTACGCAAAAATAAATCTCAATTGCATTTCTGATGATGGAAAATAATACATCGACATTCTGAATTTACCTCCAATGATATGAAAGCATGTTTTTAAACTTTGTTTAGCCGATTAGTTTTGTTTCTTCTTATTACTTTGGGCCGTCTTGCCCTCGTCTAATGTTATATCAATCGCCCCAAATAAATAGAAAAACAAAACTCTTTAAATCATACAAATAGATGGTCTTGTCCTTTATTTAATATTTATTTTCCGTTGTATAATATATTGAATATACTTTTTGACAAACCCCACGAGAACGCTGTTCTTGAAAAACGGCTGTTATTAATATTGGTAAGAATCAATTGTTTGTATTGGAATGTACTATAAGAAGTTTTTGTTGTTGTGTTATTCTACTCATTTATATTAGTGTATATGGACGTTAAAAGTATTCGAACCATCTTTCTTTGTCTCACAAAAAAATAATTTACTACATTTTAGTTTTTTGTTTTTAGGCTTTATCAAACATATATCAAGGGATACATGTATTTGCCCTCATAGGTACCTACTATGGAAAAAATTTAATTTTTAATTTCTAACATAATTTCTAATATTTTTTAACCGATAATTTTGTATATAAAGTCTACTCGAAACAAACAAATTATTAAACTTTTGAAACTAATGTACGACAATTTTGATGTAGTCGAACGCTGTAGTTTTAATGCAAACACTAAAACGACTACACACAACAATATTAATATTATTAAAGTATTCGTTAATATTTGGTTAGCGTGTGTCGTTTAATTTACCCCGAGGGTAGTTCCCGCCAACCTGTTGCGCCTTTAATTAATTATTTATATCGAAACATTCTATCTTTAACCCCAGCGACAATCGAATTAATTCATTATATAAAAGCTTTTGTCGGTATTTTTTTTTTTTGGTCGTGTTGAAAAATAGAGCTAAACGGTGGTTAAACACAATACATGTAATATTTATTAAAAACAACAAAAGTGCGGCTCCGACCTTTTTTATTTGATTTTATGTTTCCGTCCTTTTTATTTACCGTAGTAGTTATTATAATAGTATTAGGTATTATAAAATTATAACTGTCACACTTATTATTATTTGTGTATGTTTATGGGACAAGTGCAGACTCTCGTCGAGATTTGCATATTATCATAATTCATAAATGAACATAATATATAGTTAGACGGTATGTATATATTGATATCGTACATATACCTATATACATTTCAACAGCTCATGAATCATTAACAATAATCAGTACTATCTTGAGGTTCACGGGGGGGGGGGGGAAATGCCACGACCCGAAATAAACGGCGCCAGTACTTTACAGTATACACTATTGTAAAGTACTGACATAAAGTATTATGCTTTATGTCGAATGGCATGTACAACCTGTGTAAGCGGAACGCTACCGGCTACGGAATCCACGGTTTAAGCACGGAGCTACACAAGTGTACATTTTTAATAGTACACACATTTGCAAGACATCTTGAATGCGGTACAGAAACTTGTTTCGACACAAAAAAAAAATTATACATGTAACCGTTATTCTATTCTTGAAAATATAAATCAATAAATCTAAACTTATTTTTTACATCAAATCCGGTTTTAAAGCGTTCAGATTAAGGACTTTCTAAATCTGGTGATTAGATAGCGGTCGGCTGATTTTTTTTAAACAATACTCAAAGAAAGACGTTTTGACGGCCGATAAGAAAATCGATTCTGCTTGGGCGGGTGGAATAATAATTGTTGCTGTGGGGCACTGGCCGGTCACCGGGGAAGCTATACGATATAGTGACAAAATATCGGCGTAAACTCTTCTATTCCATTGTTGGCTAACAAGGACAAATCGCTTCACGACCCACACCAGAGCTCGCGGAATGTGTGGCCCGAGTACCGCACAAAAGGTCTCCGGGAAATCTGAAATGCATTTAACATGACGTTGCGGTCAACCCAAGTAAAACGCATGGATTTTAATTTTATAACCATCACTTTAAGTAAAGCAAAAATAAAAAAGTCTGCAATACATGATAAATTTGTCGTCTAATGCCAACATATAATAACATAATAATAATATCATTTATCCATATTATATTATGCATATATATACAGGGTGTCCCATTTTAAAATACTAATCGATTTTTCTCTAAAAATACTGATCCAATCAAATAGTTGCCTATTAGAGACTTTTAGAGTACAAAAGGGGACATTATAAAAAATTAAAAAATAGGGTCCAAAATTCAAAATGGCCGACTTACGGTCAAAAATATGTTTTTTTTAAATGGAAACCATGTATTTTTTGCTAAACAAACAAATGTTCTTATCAAAACTAACAACTTTTGTAGGAAAATTTTTTCGAAAAACCCATAATTTGTAAATTAAGTATCTTTAGCTATTTTTAGTTTTGATATTTTATTTTTATGCATATGGTAACCTTGTCATGTGTAGTAACCTTGGTATGTGTGGTAACTTTGGTTTGTGTGGTAACCATGGTATGTGTGGTAACCGTGGTATGTTTATAATTTCCTAACCTAACCTAACCTTACCATTACATTATCATTATCTTTATCGTTAACGTTATCCTCTTTTCTGTGTATCACAAAGACAAAACCCATGGTTATCACACATACCAAGGTTACCACACATACCAAGGTACTACACATGACAAGGTTACCATATGCATAAAAATAAAATATCAAAACTAAAAATAGCTAAAGATACTTAATTTACAAATTATGGGTTTTACCATTTAAATTATGGGTTTTTCGAAAAAAATGTCCTACAAAAGTTGTTAGTTTTGATAAGAACATTTGTTTGTTTAACAAAAAATACATGGTTTCCATTTGAAAAAAACATGCTTTTGACCGTAAGTCAGCCATTTTGAATTTTGGACCCTATTTTTAAAACTTTTATAACGTCCCCCTTTGT